GAGTACTTTTGTCACAGTATGTATGTATGTGTCTGTATGTCCTTATACATGTGTCTGTATGTATGCTAGTATGTGTCTGTCTGTCTGTCTGTCATTATGTATGCCTGTGTGTATGTCTCAGTATGCGTGTCAGTATGTATGTATGCCTATTTGCGTGTGTGACTGTTAGTATGTATATGTGTGTTTATCTGTGTCATTTTGTATCTGTGTGTGTATTCCTGTGGGTGGGATTTGGAGATGGACCCTGTGGGTGGGCTTGGAGACGGGCCCCAGACCCTGAGCTGAGTTAGTGGCCCCAAAATTTCTGGTGGCGGCGCTGTGTACCGATATTGCAGCACATTCTCTTCAAAGAAAAATACCGGCAATTGTATTGTCCGTATTTTTGCAGTACCGGCCACAAGCACCAAATACCGACCAGGTGGCAACCCATCATACATAGAACGTGTACACATTTACTGAGGCTGTGCTTCACGCTGAAATGATATCCCTCATACCAGCTCACATATAGAGATATCAGCAACACATACTGAGGCTGTGTGATAACCAACCTATGAAAGGTCTTCACACCAGTTCAGTCAGAGGCTATCTTGGTCTCATATGCTGATTTAGAGAAGCAGGAAGATCCAAACAACATATTAACTTCCACTCTGAAAAGGCCTGCTTATGTGCTACAAAGCACCGATAACAGCAACCATTGCCTTATGCTTTGATAGGAACAAGTGTCTGCATGGACTATGTGTCAGGTTGTAAAACACATGACATAAACATTGTGTAATTCAATCATTCAGTTAGGAAAGCCTTCCTTTACCATGTGTCTTCACTGTCTTAAGGACTGTGGTGTTCAGGCAGACGTTATACAGCCAGGATATCATTATCAGCACTCTTTTGGAACAAGCATCCTTGCATTATCTGCTTTTTTTTTTCTTTTGCACATTGCATCATTGCCAGGGCTGTCTTTAATGCGGGGCAAAAGGGGCAGCTGCCCTGGACTGAGTCATTCCTAGGGGGCCCAAAGTAGCTGCCCCTTGTGCCTGCCGGCCACCGTGGTGCATGTGGCCCGCGTGGTACTACCACCACGGGCCGTACAATGAGGGGGCCCACCCAAATATTTTTTATTGCAAATGAGTACTTATTGTCTATATCCCTAGTTGTTTACAATGCAACATGTCCCTTTTTAAGGTTTATTCTATGTTAATTTTGCACAGTAACTTGGATTATTACATCTCAAGTATTAGTAAACACATATATATATATATATATATATATATATATATATATATATATATATATATATATATAAAAAATATAAGCTACTAATTCTCCTTTTTTAATTAACAATATTGTTTGAATATGATCTGTTTTCTTCTTTACAGTATATTAACAATTTGTGGATTGTAAGTATACTAACAGTGTAATGATATACAATTTGTTTACTAGAGGGATTACTTGTAAGCATATGAAATAGTTAACTTTTCTTGTTCATATGTATTTTATACTTAGATAAGGTTTATAATCATTAGTGCTGACTGTAAGGACATGAAATGGTTAACTCTTTTTGCTTTATATGCTTTAAAATAATGTTTGAAGTAATTATGCTGACTTTGGCAGATGTATTTTGTACTAAGGTCTTTCTTCTACAGGATGTATGACCTCGCTCAACCTCAGGATGTTACTGTCCCATCTTTATTCAAATGCTTATCTTTTAATGTCAGACAAGTATATACTATGAGCTACAAGGACACTATAAATCTCGCTGCTTGCGTAACAAACCGTGTATAAATGCTAGCCCTGAAAATACACTAATTTGAGAATCTTGTTAAAGCACATTTGTGGAGTCCGTGTCTTTATTGCTAACAGTGATTCTCCATCAATGTTGATTATGGTGACCGGAGAATCGAGAATCGAGGGGAGTTGAGTCCAGAACGGCATTAACCCTTTCATTCATGGTATAAATAATTGCGACTAAAGGTTTTTTGACTTAATATTTCTTTTAATATAATGCATTTTATGAAGTGCTCATTTTCCTTTTTATTTATATGTTTCCCGAGAATAATGTTGACATCAGACGTTTTAGTTCTGAGGTGCGTCAATACCGGAAACATGTGATCAGAACCGGATGTGGAAGTGACTTCGGGACGTGATGAAGCAGATTACGTTCCGGCGCCGAACCCAGAAGTAAAGAACTACAAGCACGGCGAAAAATGCGCCAAGTATGGATTTAAAAGACTGCACGTCAAGGACATGCACATTACCTCTGACGAAGGCATACTGCCGAAACGCGTCAGGTGTTTCTTGGACTTACAATTTATGGGACTTTTCCTTTATTTTTACTGTTTTTATTTGTTTCCTGTATTGGAAGAATAAAAGCTTTCTGTAACCCCCTGAATCTGTGTCTTGGAGGTACATCATTCATACAGTATATTGAGAAGAGCCACGCTGAAGTCCGGAAGTGCTTTGTTCAAGGCATACTGTTTGAGCCAGCTTGTTAAGTGGCTCTATATATGTGAGTGAGACCAACACATCCCTCTTATTATTCAGTTTTAACTTTATTACTCTATGTTTTTCTATTTTTGTTTATTTTCAGAGATCGATTGACTGCAATTGGGGTAATATCAATTTTATTTATTGGAGTGCTCACCTTATGGAAGTGCTTATTACTGGGTCTTCAGGGAAAAGAGGCATAGTAGGCAAAGAGGCATAGTCCCAGCTGGTGCATAGTCCCAGCTGGTATGCAGTGAACCGCTTTTATCCCCTGAGGGAGGGAGTTGGGTCAACTTCTGGTTGTTGAAGGAGATACCCAAGCTGGCAACGCCTAGAAATGTGCTGTTGCTGGATCTTCACGGATTAGAGGCTGAACCCTGGCTGGGCCTCATGTAGGCAGTGGACCATGTTCATCCCCTGAGGGAGAGAGTTGGGTCAGATCCCCATACACTAAAAGGCACCTCATAGAGATGTGCTGTTTATGGGTCTTTAGGGATAAGAGGCTGAACCCTGGCATGAATGCAGTGGACCACTTTCATCCCCTAAGGAAGAGATCGGGTCCAACCTCTGGTCACTAAAGTGGTACCCAGGCTGGCAAACTCATAAAGATGCGATGTTGCTGGGTCTTCAGGGCTTAGAGGCTGAACCCTGGCAGTGCCAGAAAATTGGCCTGGTAAGCATAAAAAATATTGTAGGCCTGCTTAAGCAGACTCCTTCCAAACTGCTGCAAATGACAGCAAAAAAGACTGCCTGATGGCAAGGGGGAGGATCTATTTATACCAACTTCAGAGTTCTATTTCCACATGAGTAAATGCTGCCATGATTGATCAGAAAATATATCTACAGTTTAGTAGATATACACCCAATAAAAGAACATGAATGCATTTGTTTATGCATTTCTTTTTCATTTGGGGTAAATCTAAAAACATCTTGCAAAAGCTGCAGATCTCTTGTCTTTTTATGGCTGTCCAATCACTGCTTACAAATGTTTTGATAGCTTACATGGCCTCTGTCGGTCACCAGTCACCTCTTCCAGGTGAGACAAAATCTCTATGCACTAAAATAGCTCAGTGCAGTGTTTAGCTCAGAGTGAGAGAGAAATTCACAGCTAGTGAGCCAGCTTTTTATCTCAGGGTAGCTAATTGAAGCTCCTTATAGAATCTCCTGGCTCTGTGGAGGCTGTGACAGATGCCCACAGATCCCGAGCAAGTTGTCAAACCTTTCGACTTCTTACCCTGAAAGAGGACCAGGACACTCCTGAAGCCATAACACTACAGCACAATAGTGTTTATGATGTTTGGAGTGTTTCTTCAACTTTGCCATGCTTTTTTTTGTTTTTACTGGGAAAAGTGGAAGGGACAGCTGTCTTTTCCATAAGCAATCAAAGTCGTTTGTTTGAGTAATCTGTATATGTTTGTGGCAGAAATTGTTGTTTGCATTTTGTGCAGATATTGCTTGACACAGAAAAGGAATAACTAACTGTGCACGCAATTGGTTGTTCAAAAATATCTACTTTTTACATGCTCTGTGCTCAACCCATGCATTTTTATTCAAACTCTAAATAGGGTTAAAAGTATCTAATGATCTCAAAACAAATACACCTGTTTCTATAAGGCCCTGTTTGTTAAAGAGTCTATTGAAACAAAGAGGTTGGTGGGTAATTGAAAACATGACACTTGTTCCACAGTCAGTTTTACCATACCAGTTAGCAAGCATTCCTAAGCATCAAGTAATCCTTTTATTACTCTTTCAGGAAAAACTTGTTTTACATAAACATATCTTTACATTTGCAGTGACCTTTTTAAGATATGTTTATGTAAAATTACATTTTACTTAAAGATTAATTAAAGTATTACTTTATGCTTAGGAATGTTTGCTAACCGGTATGGTAAAACACTGTTTGCTAAATATTTTAGAATACAATCTATATAAAACCAGCTGCCTGAACCACAACACACATTTCACAGTTACCCTTCCATCTGAAGATTTGTGTGACTGTGGAAATCTGTCTAAATCTGTGTTAGTGAGCACTTCTCATTTGCCGAGATAATCCAACAACCTCACAGGTGTGGCATATCAAGATGCTGATTAGACAGCATGATTTATTGCACAGATGAGCCTTAGGCCGGCCACAATGAAAGGCCACTTTAAAATGTGCAGTTTTACTGTATTGGGGTTTTGGGGGGTCTGAAAACCAGTCAGTATCTGGTGTCCCCACCATTTGCCTCATGCAGTGCAACACATCTCCTTCACATAGAGTTGATCAGATTGTTGATTGTGGCCTGTGGAATGTTGGTCCACTCCTCTTCAATGGTTGTGCAAAGTTGCTGGATATTGGCAGGACCTGAAACACGCTGTCGTATACGTCGATCCAGAGCATACCAAACATGCTCAATGGGTGACATGTCCGGTGAATATTCTGGCCTGCAAGAACTGGTATGTTTTCGGCTTTTAGGAATTATGTACAGATCCTTGCAACATGGGGCCATGCATTATCATGCTGCAACATGAGGTGATGGCCGTGGATGAATGGCACAACAATGGGCCTCAGGATTTCATCACAGTGTCACTGTGCATTCAAAATGCCATCAATAAAATGCACCTTTGTTTGTTGTCCATAACATACGCCTAACCATACCATAACCCCACCACTACCATGGGCCACTCGATCCACAACATTGTCATCAGCAAACCGCTCACCCACATGACGCCATGCATGTTGTCTGCCATCTGCCCTGTACATTGAAAACCGGGATTCATCTGTGAAGAGAACACCTCTCCAAAGTGCCAGATGCCATAAAGTGTGAGCATTTGCCCACTCAAGTTGGTTATGACAATGAACTGCAGTCAGGTCAACACCCCGATGAGGACGACCGGCATGCAGATGAGCTTCCCTGAGATCGTTTCAGACAGTTTGTGCAGAAATTATTTGGTTATGCAAACCAATTGTTGCAGCAGCTGTCCAGGTGGCTTGTCTCAGACGATCTTGGAGGTAAAGATGCTGGATGTAGAGGTCCTGGGCTGGTGTGGTTATGCGGTTGTGAGGCCAGTTGGATGTACTGCCAAATTCTCTGAAATGCCTTTGGAGATAGCTTATGGTAGATATATTAACATTCAGTTCACGGACAACTGCTCTGGTGGACATTCCTGCAGTCAGCATGCCAATTGCACGTTCCCTCAAAACTTGCGACATCTGTGGCGTTGTGCTGTGTGATAAAACTGCACAATTTAAAATGGCCTTTTATTATGGATAGCCTAATGCACACCTTTGCAATAATCATTTTGTCTAATCAGCAGCTTGATATGCCACACTTTTAAGGTGGATGGATTATCTCGGCAAAGGAGAAGTGCTCACTAACACAGATTTAGACAAATTTGTGAACAATATTTGAGATATTTGAGATAAATACGCCTTTTGTGTACATAGAAAAAGTCTTAGCTCTTTGAGTTCAGCTCATGGAAAATGGGGGCAAAAACAAGTGTTTTATTTATAATTTTGTTCAGTGTATATTGTTTGTATAATTGTATCCTGTTGTAGCAATGCAATGTTTTGTGGACCCAGGACATACTTGAAAATGAGAGAAATTGCAATGTATCCATCCTGGTAAACTATTTTATAAATAAATAAATCCGTAATGCCCTATTAGGCAAATCTGACTTCCCACTCACCTTTCAGGGTTAAAACTAACCCTAATAACAAAGCAATAATGTACCTGGACTCCAGAGCCTGGCAAAGCTCCTCGTGCTGGTTTCCACTTCTCGTATTAAATCACAGCAACCATTGCAAAGTCAAATCAAATTATTCTCATAGAGAAACATTTGATTGGGTGATTTAACCCGCTCAGAGCATACACACACTGAGCCTTTAAGGGAAGGGTGCAAGTGGGGCTGAGAGGGATTTAAAAAAAAAAATAATAATAATAATAATTAAAGGGACACTATAGTCACCAGAACAACTACAGCTTATTGAATTTGTTCTGGTGAGTAGAATCATTAACTTCAGGTTTTTTGCTGGAAACACTGTCCTTTCAGAGCAAATGCAGTGTTTACATTACAGCCTAGTGATAACTTCACTGGCCACTCCTCAGATTGCTGTTAGAGATCCTTCCTGGGTCATGGCTGCCTAAAATGCATCCAAACATTCAGTATCTCCTCCCTCTGCATGCAGACACTGAACTTCCCTCATATAGATTCATTGATTCAATTCATCTCTATGAGGAGATGCTGATTGACCAGGGCTGTGTTTCTCTTTTTATATATATAAATTTTTATTTTTCATTTTAAAAGTTTCATCCAAATGCATTTTCATGAATAGATTTTACAAGAAGAGAAAATAGCATACAATTCCTCTTCCTTACAATCATTTCACATTGGTGCTACCTAAGAGTGGCTATCTGTGGGAGGGGAGTTGAGTTTTTACAGCTAAGATATCTAACCCAGGGGGCCCAGATTTCATCATATTTCTCTCTGGATAACTTATTTGAGGCTAACCCAGCTTCCATCCTACATTGATCTATTTGTATACATATATCATGCCAGTTTAACAAACCCATATTTCTCCAATTTCTGGCCATAACTATTTTTATTGCCATAAAGGAGTGAATCATAAGAATTTTTTTGTTTTATATTAACTTTTGGCAAATCTAAATGGAACAGGAACATTTGAGCCGTGATAACAGTTTGAACCTTCAAAATGGAATCCACCAAGTCCGATTAAAGTTATTTTCATAGATTTCAACTCCTCACAGTCCCACCAGATGTGGGAGAATGAACCTAACTCCCTACCACATCCCCAACAATCTGGTAGAAGTGTGGGTTGAAATCTATGGAGGCGAGTGGGCACCAGGTACCAACGATATACCAGTTTAAAGTACACTTCCTGTATATTCACCCCATGTATATATCTTTTTACTAATTGTAGGCCCAAAATCCAATCTTCAACCGAGGATGAAAAGTGGAGTTCCTGCTCCCATTTATTCATTGCCAACACTTTAACTATTTGCCTTTTGCTTCTTGTAAATTGATTAAATCTGGATGCGATTTTTATTTTTTTATTTTAATTTTTTTTTGTAATGGAATGCTACAAACTGGTCAAATGGAGAAGTTTCCGAAAAAACGTTTCCCATAATAAAAGATTTTATTCTTAAGTAATTAAATATTTCCTTCGAAGGGAGGTTATAATTGAACTGTAACGTTGCGAATGGCAATATTTTGTTATCATTTAGAAGTTCCGCAATTTTTGCAATTCCACACTTTTCCCATTCTTGAATATTTATATCTTTTATATAAAGTTTTAGACATGTTAATGGGGCGTTTCTTGATATATGTTTAGTTCCATATTTTTTCTTTAAGTATTTTACAATATAGATCATTGTGTTATTCATCGGGTTACTAGGCCTTATATTTTTTACAAATTCACTGTCACACCACCAGAGAAGTAGAGGTTCAATATTACAGAGATCTGATTTTTCAATATCTAACCAGACTGGTCTTGACATTGTAAAATTATCACATTTAATTAAGTGTGCTACCATATTGTTCATATATAGTTTCTGTAGATCTGGGAAAGAAATTCCCCCTTCTTTCCAATCTCTCTGTAAAATTTCCAGTGATACTCTAGGTCTCCTGTCTTGCCATATATAATCCGAAACCTGTTTTTTGAAAACCGCGTATCGTCTGGAATGAAACCCTCAACGGGAGGTTACAAAATAAAAATGTCAATTTGGGGAGTAGATAGGAGTTTACCGCTTCGATTCTTCCCAGCCAAGATAATTCCAATCCCTTCCAATTTTTTAGAGTACTCCTAAATTGGGTAGCTATTTCTGTATAATTAAGTTCACCAATTTCCCTATAGTCTAGAGATAGTCTTACCCCTAAGTAATTTAAATTCCTTTTTGAGTTTTTTTTACCCCGGGTCCATTTAGACCTTTTGTCAGGATTTGTGGTTTTTTTTATATTTATTTTATAGCCTGAAAATTTACTATACTCATTAATAATACAAAATACAGCTGGAATCGATCTAATAGGATCTGTAAGAGTCAATAGAACATCATCTGCATAAAGTGCAATTTTATTCTCCAGACTATTCACTTTTAGCCCGCTGATGTCATCATTCTGTCTAATCGCGGCTGCCAGCGGTTCTATAGAGAGGATATAAAACAGGGGTGCCAAAGGGCAGCCCTGTCGCGTCCCATTTCTGATTGGGAACCAGTTTGATTGAAACATAAATCCTGAGACTCTAGCTTGAGGATCTTTATATAACGCCATTGTACACTCCTTAAAGAGACCCTCTATGCCGAAGGCCTTCAAAACCTCTTCCAAATACTTCCTATTAACACGGTCGAAGGCCTTCTCGGCATCAAGGGTTACCATGGCGAAAGGGGACAGACTTTGGTCCGCATGATATAAAACATTCAGTAATTTCCTAATGTTATCCGATGTACCCCTACCTTCTACAAATCCACTCTGATCTATATGAACAATATCGGGTATGTTTTGCTTGAGTCTATCGGCCAAAATTCTAGAGTATACTTTAATATCTAAATTAATAAGAGAAATTGGTCTATAATTCGAAGTATATATTGGATCCTTATCTACCTTAGGGATTGGCATTATAGAGGCCTGGAGTAATTCGGATGGGATAGTTTTATAGCTGGCAAATTCTTTAAATGTCTTCAAAAAATATGGGGAAATTATATCATTTAATTTTTTATAAAAAATCGATGAAAAACCATCTGGACCTGGTGCTTTGCGCACTATTAATACTTTAATGGTATCGCTAATCTCCTGAATGGAGAATGGAGCATTAAGCTGATTTAATTTCTCAGTAGATATTTTTGGCAGGCTTAGTTTATCCAGGAAATGCTTTGTTTCCCCTGCAGGTGGCTCATTAAATTTTAAATTATATAAACTTTTATAGTATTCTTCAAATGCATTGGCTATTTGAGTTGGTGAAAAGAGTTTTTTATTTCCAACTATTATATAGTTTATAGATTGAAGTTTATTTTTTAATTTATTTGAAAGGTTTTTCCCTGTTTTATTATTTCCATAGTACCATCCCTGCTTTAATACTAACATTGCTTTATTCATTTTTTCTTGAGTTCTTATTAGTATTTTTTTCCTGATCTCCTTAATATCCTCCAGAATTTTATGATCTAGAGTAATCTTATGTAGACGTTCTTGTTTTGCTAAATCAATATTAAGCTCATTCAACTCTTTTCCCTTCTTTTTCTTTGTATTGGCACCCAATTTTATTAGACATCCTCTCATATATGATTTAAAGGTACACCATAACATAGCGTTAGAGACGTCCCCTGTATCATTGATTTCAAAAAATTCTCTAGCCTGGATACGCAATTCTTCTACATTAATTTCTGATTTTAATAGAGTTTCATTTAGTCTCCATCTATCTCTGCGTTTGTATTCAGCGTTGTTATTTATAACTAAACTTACTGGTGCATGATC